GTCAGCAGGCTGGTGTTAGCGTGCCGGGCTGCACTGTGGTCAGCAGGCTGCCTTGTGCTGGGAGTCTCGCAGTGGTGACTGTGTCAGGCTGCGGTTTCAATGGATGCCTACTGGTTGAAAAAAAATTTGGAGTGAGAGCTGTAGCCATGGATGTTTGCATGTGTAGTCCGGCTGCAAGAGGGAAAGAAGATTGCTTCCATGTGAGGGGTGTGCTCGACTCTCTGCGGTTGCTTTTTAATGAGAAAACTGCATTGTAATATAAGAGGCACAAGACAATGCACCGCTTGGCTGAAGACAGAATGAAAGGCACAAGTGCACCGGGCAGTCCTGTGGCTTAGTGGTTCGTCGGAGTGAGTGTAAGCTGAACCAGACGGGAAAAAAACACTGCTGTGGATCTCGAGTCTCTCTAACTTAGGATGAGAAACGTGGAACTGAGGGCCAGATTGTTATACTTGCAGGTACAGGTCAGGACAAGGTGCTGTACAAGGCCAGCTCTGGGCCTGTTGAGCACACTTGCACCAGCCCTGTTAGTCTTCATGCCTATGGGTCAGGACCGATACCTTTTCCTGAGAGAGGTACATTGAAAACCAAATCACCCCATCCAGCAGGAACCTAACAAATGTCTGTCTTACACTTTTTTTCCAATTCTGTCCATCCTGCAGCTTTCTGGTCTTGTATAACTGGGGTCATCTGGGTACTGCGGTTGTCAAACAGTAGAATGTGTATTTTAATCGGTAAGAATATGAGACAGTAAAGCAGCCTGCGTGGGACAAATGCAGTTTTTGCTTTCGAAACAGCAGGCTCTGAGTCAATTTAGAGCATTTTTACCCTTAACCTGAACAGGGTGAATGTAGTTTTGTGTCGGGCAGTGCGGGTGCTGGCAGGGAGGCAGGTGTTACCTGAGTCTGCTGGGGGATGTTCAGAAAGTTGTTGTCCCGTGATCCGATGCTGACAAACCTGTTGGCAGCTGTGGGGCCTGGCGCTGAGTATGCTGTGGAGAGGCACATGTGTCAGTAAGTCAACTAGTCTGTGATACTGTTTGTTCTAACATCTGCTTGAAAATCACAACAGGTATGCTGTATTCTTTTGATCCTTATGAATTATAGGCGCTGAGGCTGTGCCTTATTAAACTGAGCAGCCTTGTCTCACACACAAACGAAACGCTTAGCACGACACCGAGCACGCACAAACACTCTTATTTCCGGATGCTTAATCTTTGGGTATCATGCATTTTTTTTTTAATGAACTGCTATTTGTGATCTAACCACTCAATTTGAAACGGCCAATACTTCCAGGTTTTAAGATTCAGCTTCGTGTGAGATAACAGAAGGGAGAGAGGGTGCTCATTTTAATGTGGCAGAGTTTTATTAACAGGCATCCCCATCATAAAGAGGCATACAGATTGTACCACTGTGGCAGAAAGCATTCTTTTAAAAAAACACGCACAGAATAACATATACAGCATGAGGAAATGCATGTTAAAAGCTGTGCACCACAAAACAACGTGCCTCATATTCCCTCTTGCAAAAGAAGCCAATTCTGTTGACCTTCTACGGGACCTTGCATTTTTTTGTTTTTGTCTAATGGGAATGAATGCCCAGCTCTCCCAGGCATGTCCAGTCTCGATATGCCTTTTTTTATTCCCATTACAAATATGAGCTTGTTTCATCCACAGCACTGAGTTCTTATTTGACATTGTTTTCCCTACAACTGTAGATCTTCTATATTAAGATCAGCCAAAAAAGACTAGGCAGGGCTGACCGTAGTATTTTTTCTTGTTGACGGTATTAATTCATTGCCAAGGGCATTTGCTGTTTTTAGCAGTGCAAGGCTTTTAAGACAGCAGGCTAAGAAGACTTCAAATGGCAGAGAGAGTGGAACCCTGATGTCAGTCAGTAAGGGGGCGTTATGTGGCTTTTTTTAAAGGGATCAAATTTAGGGCAGTTGTCTGCAGTGGACTCCAATGGCTGTTGGAAGAGAGTGTTAAAAGCTGCTTCCTCTGCTTTCCTGGTGAGGGGAGGAGGGGGAGGAGTGGGTGGGAAAATAGATGTGGAAAGGGAATGGGTGGGAAATGGGGGAAAAAATCAGGAATGGACAACCAGGGAGGGAGATGGAGACGGAGGTGGAGGAGGGGGGGGTGGGGAGGTTGGGGAGGTGGGTTCGATACCTAAGGCAAAGCGGAAACGCGTTCCGTTGCCTTTGCAATTAAAAAAAAGGCTATGGTTGAATCCCCCCCCGCCCCACCCTCCAACCAAAAAAAAAACAATCCCAAAACAATCAAAAACGAACAACAGTAACGACAAAATATTAAAGCGGGAAAAAAAATAGCGACAATGACGAAGTGCTCCATCCAGTGCCCCTCGTTGCATGGGTGACATCGGCGTTGGTGCTGGGCTTTATATTACCCATCTACCCCCTTTGGTGGAAACGTCAATTGAAAAAGAAAATTACAAAAAAATAAGGCAAGCACACCCCATCTAAAAGACACCTCGAATGCCATGGATTTTAAGGATAACTGGTTTGAAAAACAAAAGAACAAACAAAAAATAAATACAGCCAAAACCAATCGAAGGAAAAAGTGAGAGATGGCTGTTGTCATCTAACAGAATGGCACATGGCGGGGGGGAACGAGGATTGTGGGTGAAGGGGGCATGACCTTTGGAGTCCACGCTACTGCCCTAAATTTTGTATCCTAAGGGGTGGGGAAAAAAGGGATGGATTCAGGAATACTGCACAGAGGGAGAATCGTTCACAATGTGCGTCAGTTCCTGGCAGGACAGGAATTTCGCTATCAAGGTGAGGCAGCAAGCAGTTCAAGCCACTGTCCTTCTTTTTTTTTTGGTTGAAATAAGCGTTACCACGATGGTTTTTGTGTTTCTAAAAAAAAAATCCTGGCATGAAACTGCATTGCCGGACTGCGCTCTTCATGGCAGAGAAACCTTTTTTTTCCTTGTTTTTGTTCAGAAAAAGGCAGAGAGGAGGAGGAGGACGATTTGGAAAATTGTCAACTTCGCCAACCCCCCCCTCCCCCCTCCTCCCAATCTGCGTACGGGCTGCGCGTCAGATTGGAAAGTCCTAGGAAACGGGGGCAGGGGCCGGGAGGGGTCTGCGCAACGTCCCGGGACAGACCTTGGTTCGGGGGTCGGTGAAAGCAGTATTTGAATCCAGCCCTGATTTTCGGGAGGTGGTTTTTGGTGGTGGTGGGGGGCGCGTGCTGACGTGTTTTATTTTCTTCTGGCGGCCGGGCAAGTGTGCGCGCTGGCGGAGGTGGGGGGGGGTGTGGGGGGGGGTGAGACTTGGGGGGTCCGCTGTGTCACTTACACGGAGACGTGGGCGAGGAGAGTCCGCCATCGGGGGGTGTGCTGCTGGGTTTTGTGTCAGGCATGGGGAGGGGCACTGGACGGGCCACTGGAGGTGGCGGCGGCAACAAGAACGAACCCGGCATTTTGCTGTGGCCGCTCCCGTTTGGCTGCGGACAACACAAACAGGATGAGGCATTGACACTGGCAGCTCCGGACCAGAAAAAAACAAAACGAAAAACGAAAAAACGCAATTCAAACCAAAAAAAGGGGGGGGAGGGAAAAAACACGGCCGAGAGAGGAGGAGGGAGGGGCACATCAAACTCCCCCAAAAACACTGTTAGAAGGAGCCGCCAGGGTGGTGAGTAACAGACACAGGGTGTGGATTAGTCACATGGCACAAAAAAAATGAAATAGAAGCAACAACACCGAAAAAAAAACCTCCGCAGGGGAGACTGCATCGTAAACGCGATGACGGCGCAGTGACTCCAGACGGGCAGGGGTTCGATCGCTAGGTCTCTTAAAAAAAAAAAGTCTCCATCTCCTCTTTGTCCCCCCACAAAATCTAAAAGCGAGCAACGACACGGAGGAAAGGCGAGAAGCAGAGGGGAGCCCCGCCGTCTGCGCCCTGCGGTCCATCCCTCCCCGTCCCCGACTTGTCAAGCGCTCGTCGGAGCGGGAGGAACGATCCTGCTCCGGTGATGTTCGGAAAGCCTGGCGCTTAAAAGATGGGATGTCGGACCCGAGCAGGACCTGGGCTCCTGGACTGGGCAATGTCTCGGCACAGGTCCAAACCCAGGAGCCTCTGCCGACGTGTCAACACATGGTCTCCCACAGCCCTGGCAGATCTGTCTAGGTCTGCTCACGTTCACAGAAGCGCTGACAAACACGCTGCACATCCGCTGCCTTCCCTGGATACGGCTCAGATTTCTTCTGTGGGGGTTCGTGGTGCAGCTTCATGGTCACACATCACACGTTCACCAGCTCAACTCCGACCCTGACCTTCTAGTCGTGGGCCGGTGACCATGGAGAGGCAGCTTGCCTTAAGATTGATTTCTTGAGTGTGATATCACATCCTGTGGCGTGAGGCAAGCAACAGGTCATGTTGTATGGCCTTGCGCACAAAGATGGCTGTGCTGATGGAAGTAAGCTTTCTCTTACTTGTACCTTTTTGCCAACATAAAGTGTCTGCCGAGGTGTGTTTACCTCTGTAGTCTGTTCTCCAAGCCAGGTGTCCAAACTGTGGCACTGTCTGTCTTAAGGAACTTGATCACCTGATACAGTGTACAGCGTTTCTCTTTTGGGCCCGTAACTTGTAGTGAATTACCGAATACTGAAGATTTCTCATGCGCTTCCACGTTTTACCGCAATTTCACTGCATGTTACTATGTGGCGCGCCAGGGGAACATTCGAGAAGTGCACAAACTCACACCGTTTAGCTGGGAGTGGAGGAGAGCCAGCGTGAGGGCCCTCCTGTCCCGCAGTCTTACCTGCGCGCTGGGCTGTCCCGAGCCGTCGGAGCAGACGAACTGCACGAACTCCTTGAGGGGGTCCTGGCCAGGGTGGTGGTGGTAGCGGATGGTGGGGTGGGTGAAGTAGGGGCTGGACTGCTGGATGATGGAGGGCGAGGGGAAGTGCAGCGCTGAGGCCGGGGCGCGGGGGCTCCCTGTGGACAAACAGACGCTTTCAGTCTCAGTGGGAGGACAGGACAGGACAGCAGCACGCCACCGACTTGGCATGACCAGATGGCACTTTCTCTAACCTGGTAAAATATTAAGGAGCTTAGTGAACAGCAGGAAGTGTGCGTGTTACACAAGGCACTGAAACATTTTGCAAACCTATCCCATCCCATTCTCCAGGTTGGACTGTGTCAATTAAGACAGTGGTGTGTGGGATTGAGCCAGCTGAAGCCAGCCAGCCAGCGTGCATTTACCTAGCTTGAGCTAAGACTGGTGCAATTTAAAGACACTCAAAGAAGATCAGAAGGGAGTTGAGGTTTTGTTGACGGGAATGTGGTACTGCAACTGTGTGCAATGCCTTGCTGAGAGCTCATCCCACAAACAGATCACCAGCAGTTCTGCTGTGAGGTATAGTCAGTTGTAGTGTAGTATGCAGAACAGAAGAACAAAATGATGTAAAAGTAAAAGTAAAGCTTGGCTTGTTTTACAGCACACCGCTAGGTGGTCCAAATGGCCTCTCCTTCTTAATGTTTATGACAACAAGAAAAAACACCTGACCTACAAACCAGCAAGTCCTCCGTCAGAACAAATCAAGTAGAAGAGTGATAATTCTACACACTTAGGAAACTAACACACACAGAGTTGCCCGCTCTGTTACCTCAAGGAGAAGTTAAAGGGTAAGATCCTTTCTGAGAACAACAGCAACTAAAAACAGTCATTCTCCATGCAGCGGAGCTCAATTGTATCCGTTTCTTACATTCACATTTGTCTGGTTTTCAGGCGCCTTGGCATTTTGGCCATGTGTCCAAGCTGGTGTGCGCGGGCTGCTGAGATGTGCGCAGTCTGGGAGAGCGTCTATGCCCTCCTGCGTGTGTGCGTGTGCGTATGGCAGCCTGAGCACATCCGTGAGTGTGTGCGTGGATTTGTGTTATCAGGTCTGTCCTGCTGACTGGTGCCTGGTAGTGATACCCTCTATCACCATGGTAGCTGCCCACGGAGCCTGCCAAAGCCCCGGCAGATTACCGCCAAGATGTGCGTTTGATTTCCAGAGAAAAGCTTTCTCAAGCAGTACCTTCCAGCCATCCGATCCTGCTACCCTCTCTCTTCTCTCTCTCCCCCGCTACCCAGATTTAATCTCATTAGGAGCTGGGGCTCTGCCAGGTCTCCTGGGAGCCAAGGCCTGGCAGTGCCCTCCCCCACTGCGCCACCCCTGCTCTTAATTAACCCGTTACAGCAGCCTGGAGATCTGACAGCTCCACTCTTCCGCTCCGCTCCGCTCTGCTGTTCAAGCAGGGAATCTTCAATCGCAGCCCCACTAGACATTCTCTACTCACCCAGCAGGCTCAGCATGTGATATCATGCAGGTCTCATCATCTGAAAACAAAATATTCCCTCCCAACTCCTATGTTTCCAGCTTTTATCAATGTCTTTTGGAAGAAACGCCATTACGGGCTCTTTAAAGACATCTTTTCTGATCTGTTACTGGTGCTGCAGCAGAAAAAGTAATATTTAAGTAACAAGCTCATTCAGCGCAAGGCTGTCTTCACACAGGATGTAAATCTTTAGTCATATGCCTATTTCAAAAATGGTCTCTGAAAAGCCAAATGCAAAAGTACATGAAAAAGACTGCCACCATCATAAAACTGTGGTTTCCTGTCCATTAGGAATTCAGCAATTAATTCCTGTGCATGTGCACTACTGACTTAGCAAAGGAAGCAGTCACAAACAGCAAAACTCAAGGATTTTGGTGATTAGCTTTAATATACCAAGGCTTCAGAATGATACGAGTAGCAAAATGTCCTTTTTTATGATGAGGCTGATGGAAAAAAAAATGGGAGACCGCTTTTATTCAGCGTTCATGGGGCTGGTCAGACCCAAATTATCATTCTCACTTCTAACTCAAGCCATGAAAAGTAACTAACAGTGGAATTATCTGGGGATTATTGAGGGAAAATGAATTTGAGACAAACTGACAAACTTCCAAGGTGCTTACTCAGGGTGCAGGCTGAGCTCTACGGTCATGGGCCTGAAGGTTGCAGTGATGTCAGCGAGAGACTCACCACTCCTCCAATCGGCCCTAACTCACCTGTCAGGTACCATGGAGCTTGTGGCACAACAGATGTCAAATGGCTCCGCATGTGCGTATGTCGGAGGTTCATGTCCGATTCATTCTCTATTGACGTGGTACAGAAATTATCAGCTTAAAACCACGGGCAACATAAAATTGGATAGGAATGGAGCAACAAAAAATAGTTTTGAATTTTTTTTAGATTTTTAAAGCAACAAAAAAAGGAGGAAGGATGGCTGCAGAAAGACAGAATCCTTAGACCCATTTCTGCACAGCGTTCATGCAGTTCAACAGCTAGTGAGCTGCCCTCCACTGACCCATGCAGAGACTGACTCGTCAACTGTGCAGCAGCACCAGTCTGTTTCAGACCTACCTTACACCTCTAGTGCCACATGGCAGGAGATTACAATCGCTCTTTGAAACAATTCACCCAATACCACTGATACAACATGTGATAAAGCTTTGAAATACATCAAACACGGGTACAGCAAGCCCTGTTTCTAGCCCAGATAGTGCACCAGTGTGTAGACCTCCATGTCTCCATGTAATTCCAAGTGAAGGATAATAATTGAAACTGGTAAGAAACTGGGGTGACACTCTCAAGAATTACTTATATTTCACAGACAATGTTAAGTCCTGTTAAGTTAAAAGACTTAAGCGAAGAGATGGACTAAGAAAAAGGTTTAGGTTTTCATGGTAATACACAATTTATATAGTATCTTCTAGACATATAGTATCTTCTAGACAATGTGGAGCATTAAGCAATAAAAGCAGACAAAAATGTCAGCATATAACAGGTTAAAACCTTAGAATTTAGAAAGTGTATTCTACACTAATAAGTCTTCATTTAGAAAACTGTGTACAATTTTGTTCACCACATTATGTAAAAGATATTGCTGCAAAGGGATACATTCCTGATCTTAAGGAAGGCTGAAGGAACTGAATATTTTTAATCTGAGCAGACAAGATTATGATGCAAGTGTTAAAATTCCTCAAGGCTTTGACAACCAGTGTATTTCTTCAGAATGAGTACTGCAACACCAACCAGAAGATCCAACTGCAGACTTTCAGGGAAGTACTTTTAACACTAAGAAGAGGCACTTCTACACCCAAAGGGTTGTGGGAGTATGGAACAACCTAACAAGTTGTGTTGTTGAAGCAAATACGTTGGCTTTTTTTCAATAAATGGCTGGATAAGAGCCTCAGATCAAATAGCTACAAACTACCACATAGGTTGGATGGACCAAATACCCTCCAATCCTTTGGAACCGTTCTTAAGTAAAAGAGATTATATGCCTTACAAACAAATTCACCAAAGTAAGAAACCAACTAGGCAAAACATGCACCATATTCCAAACCCAGCACAGGCACAGTCACATAGACTCCCTTGGCCAGAGCCATAGCCGGACTTCAAAAATAGGTCTAAGATGTAATTTGCCCAAATAAAATAAACACAACCATCACAAAAAGAGATTATGGGCCTTTCGTTCTGAACTTGAATAAAGGTTTTGTCACAAGACATTAAGGTCATAGGTAACTCCATTTAAACAGAAGAATTGGGCTTTTTGAATACTTGTGATAGATATTTCTTCTGTATGATTCTGGTTCTTGTCGCTTTACCCAAACTTAGGGTAAACTGTTCCACATGGTCTGGGTGGTTTTGTCACATCCTTTGTCTTTGCCATCCTTTGCCAACTTCCTATTTCTGAAAATCACTCATACCAGGTTTTTGTTTGGAAGGCCTGAACAGTCTGGTCACTAATTCTCATCCTATTAGCATGGTGCTCAACACAATCTTGCTACACTCTTCAGAGAACATGTGCCTCAAGCATTAGCTTCAAGCATGCACTGTGACCATTAACCTTTCTCCAGCTACGCACATACCCAACAAAAAAAAAAGCTCTGAACTGCATGACAGATTGAGAAGCATCTCTTCAAAGGGGAAAAAAACACTGAAGACAAGAGGACAGTAGTGAAACACAAGCTTTAAAAAGGCTGCTTTTAACACAGGTCTGCAGCAAAGCTACAGTTAATGGATAGATATGGCCTAGTGCCCAAGATTAGCAGAAAGAGTTTCAGTGGCAGTTCTGTAGGAATGTCAAACAGCTGTTTCGTCCCTGTTTTTGCCAGGTGCTGGCATGGCCAGATGTTGGTTTGCATCTCCAGATGTTTTGTTAAATGCATTGTTTTGGAAAGCCATGCACTGCAGCCTTTTTTCACACAACCTTCGAATGGGTTAGTAGCTATGTGACCGCATTTAACATGCAGCAACCAGTCTCCACAGCTGAGATATGAGAGCACAAAGCAATGATTACATTACTCTACTGTTGCTCAAACATACACCTCTGCAAACAACGCGCTGTCACACTTTTAGAATGTATGCAAGGAATCCCTTTCAACTCAGCTTTTATGAAAAGGTTTTTTTGGGGTGGCAGGGGGAGGGGAACTAAAATTCCAAGTAAATTGGTTTATTGCTGTTCTGTTCCACAAATTTTAACCAGAATTAGTGAGAGTAAAGCTTCTTTACTCATTACATGCTGGGCCGCAAAAAGTTTCTAAAAAGACTGATTTCCCGAGAAAAGATCCTGATTAATGGGAAAGGAGATAGTAGTGAGAGCTACTGGAGTTATGTCTACCAGGAAACCGTGATGGAGGAGGTGGTTTTGAGCAATGATATCTGGTGTGGAAAATAATGCATTTAATAATGACTAGACTCTCCCTGGTGCTGTGTGTATTTCAGCATGCAGTTTTTGCACGGAATCAGAGACTGACAAGAGCACAATGTACTGTCTTGGCGATTTTCAAAGGCTTAGCATTCCAGAGATCTGCTTGCTTCCTACTTTTAATACAGTTGTAATTGATTAATGTTTCATCTCCAACAGGGGACAACATGTGTCAAGAACAGACATCGTTTTAAACAATGTTTTGGAAGGAAACTTAGCTGGAATTTGAAAAAGTGGCGAAAATGTGCACTAGAGCAAAAAAAAACAACCTTCCTTGACTTTTGCATAATGGAGTACGGTATGTACAGTATGTCCAGTATTGTTTACCCATTTCCTCCAGTAATCACTGTTCTCTTATCATAACATGAAAGGCTTATCCAGCTGTTTTTGTACCACCTACGTTTCAATGCACACAGTGCCAGCAGGAGTAGGAGACTTTGTTTAGGAATCATAAATTAATCAGGTTTTGATTGGTTGATTGATTGAATGATTGATTGATTTGCAACAAGGGAAGAGTAATCACAGGTGAGATTCGTTTGCAGTGTTTGGATTCCAATGTCCACACAAACCAACAGCCTGGCGATGCCCTGGCAGCCTGGCAGAGCCCCGGCCCTGGGCACCCCCCCTTCCCTGCGGGTTGCGGGCTGGTATCTCACCTGGTCTCACTCCTGCCAGCACGGGCAGCGGGTGGTGGGTGAACGCCATGCGCGCCGACCTCGTCTGGGGCGACAGTGCGCTGCCGAAATCGAACTTTCCCGGCTTCTTAAGAGAACCAGGCGAGGACAGTCCTGGCAAGAGTGGATCAACAAATGGCAAAAAACGATTTTATTACATTTTCACGTCAATCTGCAAATTTCGGTCCTCTCTCTCTTTCCTGCTGCGTTTTCCCTTTTTTCCTTTGCTCTCTCCTCCTTTATCCTTCCCTCCCCCAGGGGTTCCAGTTGTTTTCCCATTTAAGCTACTTCACCAGTTTCTCTCCTCTTATGAGTAAGTAGGACTGAAGACGGGTGAGTGTCCTCTGATTCTCTCAGTCTGGCCAGATCCTCTTTTAACACTGATGATCACATGCTGCCAAGGCAGGGGTGCAAACAGACCCCATCAACCTGGGACACGTATGTGCAAGGCTGGGTTGGAATCACAGGGAATCAGCACAAACACAAAGGGACACTGGTGTAACAGATATGGCACTTTTAAGAAATTAGAAGAATGCATTGCTGTGTGCTGGCACGATTTCTTTTTTCTTAAAGAAGCGCGGAGCTCCAGCTCCCACCACGTATTCTACAATGGGAAAATCAGCAGACCCGAGTTCAAAATAAAAATAACTGGCTCTATTTTAACAATCTCCTGGAACTGTGGGCTGCAGGTGGTACCTCAGAAAGGGAAGAGGCTCTGCTCAGGCGGTCTCTGCCTGATGTTGCATTAAGGCTTGCCTGCATAGATAACACAGGCATTATTCTGCCTTGCAGCTAAAGCCTAGGTTAGCACTGCATTCAAATCTGCACTCCACACACTGGTTACCTACAGCCGGGCTGTAATGTGTGCCAGTACTCAGGTCTTGCTCTGGGAGATGCATGGTGGGCTGCTCAGACTCACAGTCACTGCGTGTCTCTCCATTTTGCACAGGAACACAAGACCGGTGCTTTAGGTTATGGGCACAGTGCTGGAAAATGACGCTTTCGCACGAGTACAGACTCATATTGGGCTCTCGCTAATGAATCCTAGCAGTCTGAATGGAACCATGGCACTGCTAGGTTAAGGAAAAATGTTGTTAGTGGTAGTGCACAATCACTTGCTGAAGCAATTAACGGGGTAAACACTGAGTCAAGCTTTTATCTCTCAGTGAGCCGGAAGGCGTAAGCTTTTTTTAAAAACTTGTTCTGGATTTCTGCAGAAATAGAAAGCTGACATGGAGACGCAAGCTGTTCAGTTGGAACACCAACGGCAGTGTAAACGTCGGTGTGGGGGAAAAAAAAGCTACGAATATCTTCTGGAAAGTGAGAACGAGACTTGTGCAGTGTGGGAGAAAGAAGATGGCACTAAAGGAGTACTGTGACTGGCCAATTCACAGTGCTGCACAGGTGTTTTAATCACATACTGTGAAATTATACCGTATTACCAGTATATTTTATTACATTGCAAGAGATTGGAATACATGGATTTTTCCATTAGTGAAGAATGTTAAACCAAAACAGACACCAACTGTAGCTGAGGTCAGTAAAGGTTAAGCTCATTTGCACTTTTCTTCCCCAAAAAATCAAGGGAGACTATCTTGATTGTTGTTACCTTTTGTGGAGTTTTTGTTTGTATTCACAATAAGGTGAATACAATTTAAACCAAAGGCAGTTGATACGTGTGCAATGCGTTAGCAAGATTGTGTTATGCATTCTGCACTATGCTTGCAGTTTTGATGACCACGCCTACAACAGGACTGCTGCCTCCCTGGAACAGGACGAAAGGACAGAAGGGGGTAAAGGAAATGGGACCTCTTTACTCTTGAACACAGAGGGTTATGAGTGAGGTGATACTGAAAATGCAAGGAATCACAATTCTGAAATGCACTGACAATATCAAACTACAGGATCCCTACACAACCAACAGGGAAACACGAACATGAGGACACGAATGGAAACTACATTTAGAAGTGCATTAAAACCTGAGATTGACTTCTTCACACAAAGGGTGGCGGCAGTATGGGACATTCGACAAGCCAGGTTGTTGAAAGGGAAAAGACAAGAATCAGGAGGATGAGACTGTAGCCTCAACAGCCTCTTCTTGTTTGTAACATCTTACCCCCTTCCCCCCAGAACGACACAAAGCTAAATATTTTTTACCCAATTAAGAGCTACTCCCCATTCTAAATATGTGAAACACTCCAGCAGGCCACTGTGGTTGCCGACTGGAACGTGTTGGAGTATTGCACTATAGCCATCTGCTCAGAAAAGCACTTCCTGACTTAACGGCTCTACAGAGATGTATACTAATATGTCAACTAACACTGATAACAGCGCTGTACGGAACCAGAACAGAAGCTCTGTACACAAACCCACTGAGACATGTAGACAAAACGGACAGCACTGTACATTTGAGTCCCTGTTAAAATCCTTGTTTTGCGAAGCTCTTCAGTTAAGACGTGAACTCAGACTGACCCCAATACATACATCTACTAGTACTGTATCGCTATTGCCCAGTTTGCTGCCAAACATAGGTTCAGTGAGGACGTATTTATGTATTAACACACCCTGTTAAACATTTAATAGACAAATTTATAGTCTAAATATTTGTTTTATGCATGACTGTCTCCATCTGGGCCTGCATGATGCAGAATGCCACGCTAATAGATACAGACGTGCTGGTGTGTGCTCCATTTTGTGCTAGGTGTTTTGTCAGTTTTGCTGTTTTGTCCATGTGCCATGGCTGCTTATTGGAATGTGGTGAAACTTAGGACTGAAGCCATGAAATCTGAATCACGCTGAGAAAAAGATGCCATACAAAAATTTAAAAATGTACTGCAGCTGACATTGTCGCATGGTAGTTAGAGCTGCCGCTCCCCACTGCTCCATCTTTAGTTTGAATTTCCTGACAGCAATGCCCTCTGTGTGGAAGCTACATGGTCTCCTTGTGCTCATACGAGTTTATTCTCAGTGCTCCATACTCCTCTTGCCTTACAACGATATGCTGGCATGATTAAGTAGCGTCTAGACATTGACCTCTGCATTGTGCCCTGTGAAGGGCTCGTAGATGATCTTGACTCCAGTTATGTGTCATGAGTGGAGGACAGCTACCCTGCCTCAGGGGAGGACTGGCAGAGATGGGCACCTGAGCATGAGCTGTGCCAGTGCAAAGAGCCCTGGGTTGAGCACCAGCTCTTGAGGTCTACAGAATGGGACAGTGCTAGGTCCATCCAGGATTCCCAGTCATCACAGCCCCTGAAGAAGCACTAGGCCCGGGTGGGCTTGAGCCGATCCAGGCCTAATCAGACTTCATCATGCAACAGCAGCTTATTTTCACTCAAGCGTAAGCCACAGGGGACCCCAATAGAAGCAGGATCCCCCTGCAACAGTGCAGCAGAAATCACCGCTGTTTCAAGGGGATAAGAGGTGCCTAAAGATCCTAGGTTCCAGTGGGGTACAAGTTGGTGTACAATAATTCCAAAGAATAATAGGACAGACTGAAGTCCCACTGCAGTACTATAACTCCCCATCAGTCATAGAGGTTCATACAGATTTGGGAAAGTGTAATAAACCAATAACTAGTAAAATACTGTCATTACCACCTTGTAATCAGCTCTTAAGAGATCTCAGAGTGAAGCAGAACTGGGAATGAGACACCTCTAAGGGAAACCAGGTTGCAGCTGTAAGGAGGTGACATTCTTCTATTTGGACCAGAAATTCCAAGCCCATGCCCCAGCATGGTGACCAGGGATCACTCCGGGAGGTGTGGTCCCTTGAGATGTAATGTTAAACCGAGGTCCAGACTATTTTGTCACTGAGGATCCCATGGTATTTTTTTTATAAGCAGGTAGTAAAAACCTTGGTGGCCTTGCTAAACTCCACAATGGGTTTGTCTAATCAGGCTCCCCTAAAGTCTGCCGATAAAGGGCTTCCTCGCTTCTCCTCCTGATCTGCTGTGCAGTGAGACTCTTGGATCAGAATAGCAGCCACACATCAGTGAGGAATGAAGGGGGGCTTCTTCTATCTGTAAAGCACTTTTCGGATCTTTTGGGAGAAAAGGCATCGCATACATGCAGTTAATTATTAATAAATCCCTTAGGAAAGTGGAAAGCACTGATCCATCCTGTGACATGAAGCCAGCCTTCTCTCGTCCTGGCACTCAGTGCTGTGTGGCTCTGGACTGGGAGACGCCTGAGCGCTGAAGTTCGGACCCTGGTTGGGAACCGGCTGCTCTCTCCAAGCTGCCTTGCTGACCACCCATGAGATGTTCCAGAACGGACCACAAGAGCCACATTCCTCCTCTGCTGTGTTCTACTTGGGGAGTTGCTGGGGGAAGACAGCCTCATGCGTTTCCAATGAGGGCCTGCAAGGTCCTGGGCCCCACGGGTCTGCAACCAAGACCAACCAATGGCACAGCTGATTGGCAAAACTAAATTTGTGGGCAACAAGTTCAAAATCCTTGGTGATTCCAAATGCCACAATACAAGAAACTGAACTCAGTTACGTTGGCAATACAATCCCCCTTCCCACCAAATGGGAAAGAAATTCTTGAGAAAGTGGTGGCATTTCTTTTTCATTTTAAATGTTGTGAGCACTTTTCACATCAGGTTATCAAAAGGCCGTGCCCTCCAGTTTTCTTCTTGAAAGTTTCTTCTGGGGAAAAATTAGAGAAACACATACGACTGGAGAGCTCTACACCAGAAGCAGTGGTGTGTACAAATAGGCAAATTTCTTCTTTTGAGTCCTCCGGTCTTGTGCATTTGGTATTGCAGGTAGAAGAGTAAAAACACTTGCTGCCTGTGTCGCTTCCTCTCATATCAAGTCCCATAATATCCCTGCCGCCCAGCCCATCCTGACACGCCCTCACAAGTGCTGGGATGCAGGTTAACCAGAGATCAGAGCTTTCAGATCAACCGAGACAGCAACCAGCTGAGAGAGATCAGAGTTATCAAGTCCCAATTAAAAAGGACCCCTGAAGTCTGGTAAATAATCTTCACATTGTTTTGACATTTTCAAGATCCATTACATAATAAAACAAAATAAAATCATTTCAGCTTTGGATTGCCAGCAGGAGATCTTGACGGTCCTGTCTAATATCCCCCGACAGCACCGAGACTCCGGGAGGCGTCGGGAATGAAACAGAATGGAGGGGCTGGATTCCCGTGTTCTGTGCCCACTCGAGAGGCATGCTGGGCCAGACAGGTTCCCCTGGAGCAGCCATTAACCCTGAGAACGGGGAGAGCGAGGGCGGGAGGGCGGCGCTTGCTATCAAGATTCAGGAGTCCCCCAATTCACCGGCAGGGGAGTTGATGGGTGTGGGGCGAGGGGGGCGGTTGACAAATGCTGCTCAGCAGGCGCTCTGTCGACCCCCCCAATCTGCTTGGCCACACTTCAGCCGAAAGGAACAGCTTGAGCTGAGTGCTCGCCCCCCCCCCCTCCACACCGACATCAAACAGCACCGCCGGGCCCCGGTGCTGCACTCAAGCTGGTCCTCCAAGCTGATCGGGAGAGGCAGAGGGACGGCGCTCAGGCGCTCAGGCGCGCGGCGCAGGCTGCCGTTCGCCTGTCAGTGCTGTAACACCAAACAGCTCCCCCCGCCTCACCCCGACACTGACAGTCTCCGACAGGAAAAAGGGATTCCATCTGGCTCCAGATTTCCGAAAGGACCTCTCTCCTGATCTCACATCCCCTTCAGGAATTTCTTTTCAACACACAAATTTGTTTGCAAGGCACCTCTTTTCGGTACTCGGTTTGGGCACTGGCAGCATAAAAATATTTTCCTTCATCACATTCTGAATTGTAAAGGTGGTCAGACATATTTTCTCATGCAAGCTACCAGCATCTTTCCAGAATAGTAGGCTTTGCAGCTCATGTTGAAATTCCACACGAGGTGACCAGGTTGGATCTTTAGAAGATACATTTTTGACACTTGTATGTGCCTGTGGAACATTTACTGTAGGTACCTTAACAGATTTTGTCATACCTTAACAATGAAAAAAAAACAAAAGACTGAAAAAAAGAATCTGAAAGCCAGTTAAAGGCATGTACTACTTCTTACTGACATTAATATATTAGTTATGGCAGACTATGAGAGCTCCGTGGTTTCAGCAATACCCTGACTCTGATGAACAATGTGCACCCTTTGGGAACTGGAAGCAGACCCATTTGAGCATTGCTGTGGCCAATGGGGTTGGAAGGATGATTACGTATGTCGTGGACAAAACAAGATATAGATACAGTATATATATTCCCCAGTTATAACAAAATACACGTTTAAACAGGGACATCACAGGACACCCACTGATCACCAGTCCTCCACTCTTCTCCCTCTCTGTGTGTAAGAGTGCCATTAAGCCATCAGGTAAATACGGGATCATGTCAGGCCTCGCAAACTGATTAATATGACCTAGATGCATAAAAATGATCTTGATAGAGTTGATTTAGAATGCTGTAAGAAACCCACTGCAAGGAACTTTAGGAGTTTCCAGGATGTTGCTAGGCTCTGCTCAGACATTCAGACACAGAAAGGAGCTAAGGGTTTGGCATAGGACACACAAAATCTCAGAGCCACGACGGCACAAAATCAACTTTTCAATAGGCCCAACACACATTTACAAAAGAAAGTTTACAGAAAAGTGCAGATGTCTGTTGTATATTGCCAAATCGAAGGTGAAAAATATAGATAAATGCACATTACTGGCTTGTCCACTGCTTTTCGCTTTTCCATCCCAGTTTAAGATCCTCCTCACAGAGGCTCTGCTTGGTGGTGCAAACGCTTTTCACAGCAAAATGCCTCCTCAAAATAAAGTGAACACAAACAACCATTCCATCAACCTGGCCTTAACAAATCTCCGCTAACGCTTCAGTCACAGCTGAGCCGGAGAGAGAGCAGGGATTTCGGAAAAATGAAGGATTCATTGGCAGGTGCGTCTGAAGTGGCTTTTTTCTCCCAGTGCCATTGCAGCACGGGCAGCAGTCTGTGGGTGCAAGCGCGCCTTGTGTGTGCGTGCACTGGCTAGGTGCTGCTCTGTGCCCTTCATTTGGGAGCAGACTGTAACAGGGGGCCGTCTTGCCTTTCATCCATCGGGATGCCACCTGCGCGGCCGCCGACTGGCACTCTATCAATCAAGCCGGGGGGACCCAAGACTTGCAAAAGCTACAGAAGCAACCTGCTACAGAAAATCCCGACTCTGCTCCTCTTGCTGGCGAGCCTTCGCAATAGCGTTTGGCTATTGCTCGGCCGCGCACTTATGGACAGATCGGTAGACAAATCTTGAGGTGCTGTCTGACGAAAGAAAGAGGCATCAACACTTTCGCACAAAGGAGAGGAGGAAAAAAAAAAAACCACAAGAAACGAAAACAAAAGCCACGACTGAAACTAAAGAGTTTCTCAGTGGACACAGGACGGGAGGAGACAAACAGCGCACTGATCTTTACAAGCAGCCCCTTCAGTTACCCACCCCATTCGCTAATCATTCATTCAAGTCAACATTTTAAATGCAAGAAGCAGCAGCAAAAAAAATAAATAAAATGATTTTTTTGGCACTGATCTACAGTGTCTTTGATTGTGAAGATTCCCTGTACTTGCTAGAAGAACAGATGTCTTTTGTAACCCAGTAGTACCCATTATTGCAACGCACAGAGCCACCATCTGTGTTCGGCAGCAGTTTCTGTGAAGCCTGTGAACATCGCTTCTCTGTTTTGCAGCCAGCGCCACAGAACAGCCGCAGCACACCTGATTCTCCCTTTTGTGCGCCGGGGAGATGTATTCTCCACTGAACTGGCGGAGTTAAGTGCTGGAGCTTCAGAGATCAATGCCTCTTGGGCGATGATAGAACGATTTCTTCCGTTTTTTGAAGTTTGCCAGAAGTGGGCGACAGATATCAAAACCAAAGATGTTTGCTTTTGAAGCCCAGAGGGCATGCCAAGGACAAGTTAATACATGGAATACGTTTTCTTACACTCTTAAAAAAAAAACAGAATATTAATTAATTGTGCATGTTAATAAATATTACAGGATGCACAATGGATGAGATTGTTTTTTAGAATTTGGAATCGTCACATTTGTTTAATTTCAAAGCCGGCTAATTTAGAAACATCCAATCAATCTGCTTACTGCTGAAACTGCTGGGTCATTGCCGTGGGAGGGCAGAGACGGCAGTGCCGACTGATCCCAGCAATTCATCAGCTGACATGCTCCACAGCGCCCTTTCAAGTCACCCTGCTCAGTGCCCTGTGGCAGGCCCAACTGAAGCCCTGCACCACTCAGTTGTGCACTGGCCAGGCTCAGACAAATCTTTGGTTTCTGGGATCAGAGGGCTCGGTCTATACCAAGGGAGTATTATTAGTTTGGCCGGCTGAAAAATCCCCTTAGTCCTATATTAGCATTTAACAATCGTATTTAACAATGGTAGGGTGTTTCTGTTACCTGTTTAGAGCCAGAAAGACCCATTGAAAGCTCCTGTAAAGTCAGTGAACAGGCTTAGATTGCAGCTAAATGTCATAAATTTGAGAATAAAAAATGGATAATTTAGGAATCGCACTGTGAGAGAGCCTACACGGGAGGATTTAGTCATTCTCAATCCAAGTGCAACTCAAAATAGTTTCTGAAAAGAATAATCAGACATTTGAAAAGATGAGGAAACTAAAATCCCACTTTAAAACATCATCACTACTTTGACTCGTATAAAACACTATAAACAGTCCAGAAATTATTTCTTATTATTTAAATTATTAAATAATAATTTAGCAGTACTAAATTATTTAGTACTGCTTCTTAAATTCAACCTATAGCAGAAGGAAAGTCCGAAGACGACTCTGTTAAAGGCTCTTGCTCAGTTATTCGCTGTGTATGCTCTGATCGATCAGAATGGCTCCTCCTGGGTTAGCAAAAGGATCAATTCATCTTTCAAATCAATGGAAAGGTCAATAAGCAAAGGAAAGTGAAACCAAAATGAACAGAAACAAAACAGAAGTGGGAAAGGAACCAGATCTTCCTGGAGGTATTTAATTAGGATATATTGTAATTGTTCTAACCATGGTAAGGAAACTGCACGCCATCGTTTTCATGCTTAATCTTCCTCTCCTGCACATTCGCCAAATGGTGCTGCACTGCAAGTCCAAAGGGGAGAAGGGAATTGTTAACAAGGGGGAGAAACAGGCTTTCCTTTGGGGGTGGGAATGGGGTACTGCACAGCACAGTGAAGGGTAGTGAGAGAGCATAATTAACACTAGGAACGTGCTGACATTCCTATTTTCCGAACCATCCATCCAAACATGTTTTATGCCAAAGATCTCCCAAGTCTGCTCCTCGAGGGTGATAGTCCATCACGACCAACAGCTTCAGACCTTTGTAGGATGGTAACATTGGTCCAATTGATGCTTAAGTGAGCTAATTTAATGCTTTTTTCTGAGGTTTTACGCTGCTGCTGATTAACGGAGGCCATCAAATCCTCCTGCTCTGCTGCTCTGGAAGAGCAGACTTGGGTAGCCCTGTTTTTGCCCAAAGGCATTAGATAAACCGAGTTAAAACTTGTGCATTGCAAGATGAGATTTCCTGTTTTTGTTTCTGTTGTTTTAATTTAAAGTTGCCAATCATTATTTACGAAACGTTGTGTTCTCTTTCTTCTTTTTTTCAGCATGGAATAAACCTATTACTTGTTCCTTTGCAGCCTACGCATGCTGACGCAGCTACCCACCTGAATCATTATTTACTATAACACCACAATTTGGAATCACTTAACCTGGTTGAATACTGGGCTCTCCGGCCACGACTGCCCTGCTCCTGCACGGGAGAATGAGGCGTGCACACATGCTCCCCTGACACGCCCACCCATCTCAGCCAATTGTCTTGCGAGTACCACAATGCACGGTGGCAGAATTACTGCCACTCAGAAGGGTCACCGTTTGCAGGAAATTAAAACAGCTCTGGGTGGGCTGATCCCAACCCTAGCACAATGGTGCCTGATCACTGGAAAATCCCAGTCACAGACATGAACCAGACTAGAACCCAGGACATCTCCGGCCACAGAGCTCAGTGGCCTTCACTGACCGTGACATTCAGGAGTCCCTGATCCACGTTTTTAACTTCATTGTCAGCCTACTACATCAGATCCCCTGACAATAACTTAGAAAATGTTTTCTCTACATGTTTCATTTTGGCTACAATGATGGGCATGGTATTTTTTCTGTGACAGGCTGAGATGGATCCAGTTATTTGCCTGTCTTTCTCCTGTAGCAGCCTGCTCTGTTGCACCAGCTAACACTTATTTTAAGAATCGGGCAGCAAAAAAAGAAGACTAAATAAAACACACGGAAGTGGTCTGTCTGAGACTATCACAAAATACCCTGTGTGCAAGTGCCCAAATATGAGTGTATAAATTAAAGAACAGACAGGGAATCTCACCTTGCTTTCTATTATAATGTCTTCAAGAGGATGAGCAGGAAAATACAAAGGACTGCACATTCCTTGCACATACCACATCTCCAGACATCTAACCAGCTCAGCAGCTCAGGTGTTTCACATAAACGCAGTGCTCAGACAGTAGCAGCTCACACAGCCTTACAGTGTTTACAATGCCTCTTAACAGAACATTAATGCCGATAGCATGTAGGAACATCAGGGTGCAAAGCATTTGTAAGTGTGCTGTCATACCATTGATGTAATTATTTCCATCAATTCTTCTGACCTTCTTCTGTTTCTTTAGACAGCAGTATAATTATTCAAAGAACTGTTCATGACATAAGCCTTGCAAATAATAAGTCAGAACTGTTAATTTTGAATTCCCCCCTTTATAAATGTTCACAGTGATGGCTGATAGTGACAGCTATAGCCGACTATCAGGCTGCATATTCACAAAGGTATCTCAGTGTTCAATAGGATAGTGAAGCTCCTTCACATTTCAGCACTAAGTTATCAAGAGCTACTGTAAGACTTATATATCCTATTAATTCAGGATCGGTCTAAAACTGTAGTTATATTTGCAAGGGCAGAAGGGCTCTGGGACAGTGCTAATGATTGAAGCTTGGTCAGTTTAATCCTCTGCCCTTTGCAGTTTGCGGAGCTCAGCTTTGAATCTCTCCAGAAGTGTTCAGCATTGTACAATTAACGATGCCCATCTGAGGGACTGCTGAGGTGCTGAAACCCAAGGAGCTGTTTAAACACTAGTCCATCACTCAAGCTCCCTGCAAACCTACCCATCTGGGCACCCATTGTCTGACAGAAACGCACAAACCTCTGTCACCACTGAGTAGCAATCTTTTCCCTCCGATTCTCTTAGAGCCATGGAAATGGACTGCTAAACACTCACAGCGGTGTAAATTAAATGCCAAGATGGAACTTCCATCTGAAACTCCTAGTGCTCGAAGCTTCGTTTGCAATTAAGCTCCTAGCTCCTCCACCTGTGAATAATGCTCCAAAAAACTGCTTTCTCTGGGGGGGGGCAGACACCTGCGGCGTCCAGTCAAGCAAGCGTATGAGCTTTTGATAGAAGGAATGGGAGGGTTGGAAGGCATCAAAGGGAACTTACCACAAATAGCATCCACACTGGGTGCATGCTGGCGAGCTGTGTTTTTGTATTTCCCAGACTCTAGTGGGTGTCACTTCACTTTGACATTTGGATCACTTTACGACAGTGAAAATTCAGATGTTCTCTACTTCATGCTTATAGACTAGATGTAACCCAGGATGGCCCATGATCAGTGTCTCAACATAATCTCGTAACATTCAGTCCAAACAAGGCTGGAATGTATTGCAACATGAAGAAAAAAAAATGAAACAATATAGATTCCCAAATCCTTAATTACAACATACATTTCTTTTATTTTTTTTTAAACCGTTCATGTATTCCTGCCAAAGCAATTAGAAACAGGCCTCTGAGACTGCTCCATCTCTTCCCTGGTTATAATGGAAAGAGCTTGAATAGACAAGTTATAACCTTGAGCCTTACAGCACTACTGTAGAGAGGTGTATTGCATTACACAGCTCTTTTTTTCCCAAACTGTTAGCAATGACATATCAAGACTAAGGACTCTGTTCACCTTTTTTTAGACAAAAGATAAGTCCAGTGAATCAAAAATCACAGCTCTCCGAGCAGTCCCTGTGTATGACATCTTGAAAATCTCTGTGGGGTGGGGGGGATGAATACAGCCTGCACTGGTAACACTTTACAATGACAGGCTGTTAGTGACGACAGCCATCGTTGGTTTTCTTGAGCAAGGATTTGGCCTGTCTTTTTAAGCTTTGTTTTAAAACAATCAAGGAAGGCTGCTGGATGAGGATGTTGTGATCTAAGTTTATATTTAGAACTTTGGGAGGGAAAGAATGTGGAAACACACTGTGACGCCAAAGTATGTGTAATGCTGTCCTGCTGGGGGAGTCTTGTAATGAAGCCAAGTTAATTAGCCCCCGAGTTTGCATTATTAACTGTATTGCAGGGTCTTTGTAGGGCAGCAAGGCCCTGCTGGAGCAGCACCAAAGGCAGTAAAGTGTTACCAGCTCACTTCAGAAACCATCCCTGCCACAGGTTCGTGTACCACAAGAGTCACAAGTGCAGCTGGTAAAAAGAACTCAGGAGCAGAAAGACAAAACCTGCCCATTTTCATTCATTCTACCATCTGCACATGAACAGAAAAAACCCTCATCACAGTCCTAGATGCTTGGTCGTTAATTATTACTCACAGCTTCAATTGTCACAGCAGTGCTTTCCTGCACTCTGCTATATTTAGTTAACGATCCAGATCTCGAAACACTGAATTGTCAATGGAAGGCTTTACGTTAATTCATTTTCTTTTGATCTCTAGATCGGACAATTCTGTTTCTGCACTTATCTACATAAACAATCAACAGTATAGATCTATCTGAAGGGCAGGCCTGGGGTCTGAGCAGTGAGGAGCAGGAGTAACAGGAGAGTGGGGTGGTGCAGTGTGAGGTCGAAGGTCAGGGGTCAGCGACAAGGCAGGGGGCGGCCGTACCTGCGTCCACATCATTGGGCCACCCGCTGGACTGGCTGCTGCTGGCTGCTGGGGAGCGGCCCGAGTAAAACACATCGTCCACCGGGCTCTCCATCTCGCTGTCGTCGATGGACTTGCGCTTGGTGGAGCTGCGGGGGCGAGGAGAGAGGAGAGAGGAGAGAGAGAGAGACGGAAAGCACAGGGGATCAGAGCTGCAGCTGTCTGCTACACTGTTCGGACAGCAGGCATCCTGTCAGGCGCCAGGCACGGACAGAATAAGACTCCCTTCTTAGCTTTGGTCATTTCAGGCCCGGGGAGCTGCAGGGGTCCACATCTGGACAAGTTCAGGGCTGCGGTCAAAGGAATTTCTAGGTTCTGCAGCTCTACTTAAACCCAATTCATCTGCACAGTGAAAGAGTTACAGGGGGCACTTGGATAGGAGGATGTCAAAGGATAAAGGAAAGATGTCTGTTCTGAGCAACCCGGTGAAAAATGTTGCATTAGGGTGGAGAAGCAGGCAGGGCATGCGGGTATAAAGACAGGACCAGGGTGACTGTGTAAACCCGCCCCCCCCCCAGGAGTAAAGATCAATGCAGGGATAAGTAGAGCAAGTTATAGCTACCTCCTGGGCAGGCTTGCATAGAGCTCCACTTCAGCAGATCTGCAAAGCGAAAGAAAGACAGGCAGAGAATGAAAGGGGAGGGAGAGAGAGAGGTACCATCTCACATTTACACAGTATGAAACACAGCCTCACAGATCACAGCATGGAGATGTTAGTAATGCTGAAATACATGACTTATCTTTTTACTGGTAAAGTTAATAGTACAATCTGCAGTCCTGTAAGCTTAAGACCTCATGCTGTGCCATAACTGTCATTCCTTTAATATTCCCAAGAAGTACATAAGACCCTCAAGTGCATGCCGAGAATACAGAATGGAACAGAGGGTTTTTTTGGGCATTACATTCTTTATGATTTTACCAAATACCTGTTAACATGAATACTAAACATTCATTGTCACATACAGTAGAATCTGCACTCATCAAACACTGCCTAGTTACAGATTCTAAGAAAAGACAAAAGCTCAGATTTGATTAAATGTAATAACTTATACACTTCTGAAACAAAAGTGATTGGACTGAGAGTGACTTAATCTTTACCAGTCAATGCTTCCATATTTCAATGTAAGGCTTAAAAAAGTGAACCGTTAATATATATTGTCTTCCAAGCCAGTCTGAAAACCTCATATGACAAGAAAAATGTGTATTTTAAAACATCTTTTTCTTGCTCCTGCATAATCCTCCAAGGAAAATATTTGTTATGATTAAAATCTAAATTGTTGTTCATATGATTTGTTAAGGCACACATTTCCGCTGTTCACTCAATTACGATTAATGAAAACATAGCAGGTTGATGATGTTAAGAAGAAAGAGAAGGAGGAACCTTTGTGCTGTGTACCTGGTGGATGGGGGGGAAGTAATTGAGCGTCGCCCCAGTGCCACCTGGTTGATGTTGTAGTATCCGGGGCTTTCCAGGTCAGCCAGTGAGAAATTGGGCCCAGATGCCGTGGCAACCGGAGCTGAGGAAACAAAATAACATCAATGAACAAAGAAGAATGGAAAAGAAGAACCAGCTTTCTAGTTTGCAAATGAACAGTTTAAACTATAATCTATACTTAAGCAATTATCACAGAATACAATAATAATAGTAAGTATTAGTAGGGCTGTTATGGGCGGCACGGTGATGAAGCGTTTAGCATTGCTGCATCACAGCCCTCTGTCCTGGGTTCAATTCCTGGGGTGTACGTTTCCTCCGGGTGCTCCAGTTTCCTCCCACAGTCCAAAGACAGTTTATACTGGAAGTTAAATTCACTTCTGGGAAAACTGGCCCTGGTGTAAGTATCTGTGTGTGCCCTGTGATGGACTTGTGTCCGGTCCAGGGTGTATCCCGGCTTATGCCCATTGCTTCCTGGGATAGACCCCAGCTCCTCTGCAACCCTAGATAAAGCAGTTAGAAAATGGATGGATGGAGAGTAGGGTTTTTGGTAGCAATAACTGTGTGGAGAACACATTAAACAGAGAGGACTCGTGGAAGGGACACTTACTCTGCGACACTCTGACCAGCTCAGTGACATTCCAAACTCCAGATGTCACGAAGCAGTCCTGGAAACTCAAGTGTCCTGTGAATGAAGAACACAGCAATCACTGACAAGCTGCACTGCGCCTCATACGCAACAGCCCTGAGCTGCAGTTCACGCGAATCAAAGATTCAAAGCCTAATACAGAAGAACATAGACCTGCTGCTGCAGAATGCTTTGGTTCTGGTAGGTAACATATAAAGGGTAGGGAAAATGACTGAACAAATTAATAAATAAACGAATTAATCTACTGATCACTGTTTGAGTCTATCCAGTCAGAGGAAACGGTCAGTTGCCCATTCAGTCCAGGCTGTCGAGTCACACGGAGGGTTCACTAATTGAAATTATTTAAGTGATTGCCATTGACCATGAAACAGCAGGGCTTATTTTTGTATCTTTTCACACCCATGCAATTTTTTCCACCTTCCCACAATGCCTAGATGATTTATGACACACTAACGTCTCCTCTCAGCAATGTGCCCTCAAGTTTCACAACAAAGGGTGCTCGGAGAAGGCTTGGCAAGCACTGTCAAAGCTCGCTTCTGCTGCAACAAACAATAAAACTTAATCAAACGTGTGAAGACAAGGCTGGAGCGCTGCTCAGGAAAAATAGTTTCAGAGCCACTCTTCTCACAAATCACAGATGTGTTAATGTGAGCCGGCAACAGGGTCAATTTAGGATAACACATTGGGGCCTTCTATTCAACTGCGTCTCCATCTGCATCTGCGAGTCACACAAGAGCCAGGAGGACTAGAAGCTGATGACCGTCCTCTGATCACTCTGCTCTGCCAGGTTCTCTTTATACCTGGTGGCTCATCTCAGATGATCTCTGCATCTGGATCAGTCTAGTTTGAAGATGACAACCGCAGATACAAACTCAGTCCTTTAGTGTTGCATAAGCAGCAGGTTTAGCATGTGACATTACAAGCAAGAGTCACTAATTACAGGCTACAAACCTGTTTGACGACCATCATACAGCGGAGTGAGCCTTTTCAGAACGGGGTCAGTGCTGTTACTCACCGTTTGGCGGCGGTTTGATGTCTGTCTCTCCTTGCTGGTTGGAATTCTCTGATTGTCCGGATTCTGGAAAAGAAAAGTGGGAGCTTAGACATATGTGTGAAAGCTCTGATTCTGGACTAAAATCCTTGGTAAAATCACTCCAACTGATACAGATGGTTGCTTTGCTGCTTTAATGGACTTCTTAACAAGCTGAATGCCATCAAAAGTATACAAACGGATTGTAAAATGCAAATTATGAAAATTGTAACACCCAGTACGGAGGTTCTCGGTGTTTGCTTTGCCACTCTTTTCCAAGGTGCACATTGTGTTTTGATGTGGGATCCCACGGTTTGTGCCACACTTTGCTCTGCGGTATCCCACAGCTCGTGACCCTTTGCCACAGTTTTCCATAATTGGTACCAAGCTTTCCCTTGGCCTGTGCCATGCTTTCCCACAGTTTATAGTGTGTTTTATCACCCAACTCTGCCCATTATTCTAACCAGATGCAAAGTTTCCTTCCGTTTTACAGCAGGCTCAGAGATGACACGTTTGATGTTTCAAATAAGATGAGCCAGTACATTTTTAGCCAAATCTCCTACCCCATATGCTTATGACCTCCATGTCAATACTCCACAGTTTTGATCCTGAAAGCAAACATGGAGAGGACCAATGATTTTCCTTCGCTCAGTGCAATGCAGTCATTTAACATTTAAAAGCTGTTTCATATCCATCTTATTCTAATCCTCCTTAACCCTTGGTCATTAGCAGGGGATTTGTGTTGTATAAACAGCTCCAATACTTCCTCACCTTCCTGTCCACTACATTCTGCTCTAGAGGGATCTGAAACAAGTGTGTTGGAGGTTAAGGAAATTTGTTATCATGCTTATCATAGCCTAGCCATAACAGTCAGGGAATGATTGATTCCCTTGATTGATCTATACCTACCTCCCCGTGGAGAGCCCTGCTTAAATCAAGCCCTCCCAAAACAAATCTTTCTGCCATCCTCTCTGCAAATATTTGTGTTTAGGCCTTGAGCATGTACAAGGCCATGTTACCACAAGCAGCAGTGTTGCTGCATGTTTCAATGTTCGTATAATGTCTGCCGAAAGGTATTTTGTGGAAGAAACAGCGGTATCCTGCTTGTAACTTCTCTCCCGCTGGGCCTGAGAGCGAAACGGAGATCAAGAGCCACCCAATGGACATCCTCTCTGCTCCCCAATAGCGGAGAGGAATATTTCAGCCACGAGTGCTTCCCGAGAATTATACGCTGAAAACGAAATGCCAAAAAAACTAGTGTCTACAAGGCCCCATTCGGGCAAAAACTGATTCTAATGTGTAATCCTAATCCATCTAGTGCAGGCAGAAGTTCTTGACAAGTAATAAGATATAAGCGACGCAGAAGCAGTTTCTGTGGCCAGTTTATAAACATGCTCACTGTAATGAAGCAGACAGACTCTGCTGTTTCTTTAATCATTCGGCACGTGGACCTTCGTAGACATTGGGTCTACACCCTGACGCCTGGAGGGCCAGCATTTCTGCATTTTTTTATTCCACCTCTTTATCTAAATCAGATAGTTATGGACTTGTTAATTTGACTAATTTAATGCTGTAACTACTGCCAGATTCAGGGGCTGGTGTATTGAAGAGACCAAGAAAACCTGCAGACATTCTGGCCTTCCAGGACAAGGATGAAACACCTCTGATATGGATGAATTGTGAACATAAGAGACCTGCACACGTGCTAGTATTATCTGCTGCTTTCTAAAAAGAAAAATATGAAATGGTTTTATCTGCCAGTGTGGGCGATGACACAACGGGCAGCCTACACCATCGCAAATCTCTTGCTCTCAGAGCTTCAAAACAGAAATATATATATTTTTTACATAGATATCGAAACACAGAAACGCCGTGTCTGTCTGTGCGCAGCAGGGAAGAGAAAAAGTCCTCTATTCCTCTTCCTTCTCCTGTGCCTGACTCCCACTCTCCCTCTCTCTCTCGATCTGGAATCCTGGCAGCCATCTTAGTGTTGGCAGCCATCTTAGTGTTGGCGGCACTCACACATTCCTCCTGACTGACAGTGCCGACACACACACAGTGCCGGACCAGGGACGCAGGGAAAAACGCACACACAAGAGAGTCACATACACAACCCTCTGTTCACTCTCCCACACAGTCACACAAATATGTGCATGCATGCCGGAAAAAAATCTCTTTCACAAGCAAACAACCTGATAGTTCCGTTTCTTATCCACTGAAATGTCAAGTTTGCTCCAGCAACCTAAGTTCCTCTGGGCTGGGGAGGATTGGCTTTTAACCTTGGACAGCTATTTAGCCCAGGTGGTTGGCTATTGTTTCAGGGTTGAGGGTTATATAGTACAGGGGCTCACCTTGGGCGGACACAGGGGTATTCACTGCACATTCAGACCAATTGTGATCTGCTACAAATCTGTCTTGGGAATGTCTAGGAAGAGCCCCAGTGATCGTTCTCTCTTAAGGGTAACCTAATGTTTCGTTGGCTTAAGGAATCAAATACGTCAGAGTACTGAGCTATTTGCAGCTGGACAGGAGGGTGATCAAACACTGGATGCAGGCGTATTCAGCCACATATGAAGAAAAAAACAAAACACACAGCCAGTAAACTGGACCTTGTTCGCATACTACAGGTCCAGACTGGCAGAATCCTGCAAAGTCTCGGTGTTGCACTTCACTCATCCAAAGCCAGCCTTCATCCTCACCCTTCTGGGACTGGAGCGACATCTTCAAACCTCCTTTTATTTGAAACTACATGCAGGCTTTATTGAAGACGACAAAAACAGACATGAGGTCTTCGGAGAACACAGGTGAGAAGTGTTCACAGAACACTGTCAGACAGTGCACCTTCCCTGCCTCATGTGTGTTTTGCAGCACAAATAATCTTGCTTTGCCTTTGCTTGTGTAGTTCATGTGTGACAACATCAGGACAGCAGACTGAAGATTTCTGATCATTTTAAAGGGGGGACAACCTGAGTCCTTTCAGAAAATACACTCAGGACCAGAGAGTCAATAATCTTCAGCCTGAACTCCTCCAGGTATCACAAACAGCTCACTTTTAACATCAGTGCTATAGTGTATTTCTGTCCAGGACACCTGGGATGTTTTCCTATAAAGTGTAAAACTGTAAGAAACAAATAAAAATATAACAGCACTTTTGGCCTTGCCATCGGTTCAGCTAGTGCTTATTATTATTAATAATTTGTTTAGCCCTGGGAGCTTTGACCGGGATCTTCATCAGCGACACAGTTTTTATCATATAAACAAGGCCTTATCGAAACGCTGCCAGCTGAACACACACACACACAAATCCCGCGCCAGCACACAGCACTGTGCCCACTGATCCCTCCTTATCTCCCCTCCACACCGTGCGCCAGCGCTGCCAAAGATAAACCTGCCGCGGCCCTGTTTACTCGCTCATCTGAGTGTTTGTCTGCTTGTTTATGTACGGCGCACACGTATTGTGCCGCCACTGGCACAGACCATTTAACCCTGCGAGAGCCGGGCTCTCTTCGGAGTAGGTTTAGGAATTGAGAGACAGTATTTTGGATTTTTTTTGGAGGAAAAACAAAACAAAATATTGTCTTCCAGAAGTGATCACAAAGGGGTTCCTAACTGGGATCCCTTTGGCCCATGAGCTCATTTCTCCATTTGCCTGTAGGCAGTAGTAGTTACCGCTGGGCGAAAACCAGCTTGAAATCACCTTGAGCTTCTCCTCCTAGAAAGGAACAATTAAGAGCAACCAGTCAGCCTCACCCAGTGTGCCCTTGGGAGGTGGGAGAGCACCTGCCTACCACTCACCAATACAGGGAGACCATGCAAACTCCCCACAGACAGGCACCAGATTCGAACCCACGACTGCACCTGCTGACCTGCTTAAGTAGTGCTGACCTCTACGTCACTATGCCATCCCTAAGGTCAAGAGTACATCAGCAGCAACCCACCCAAGATCTGAACATACAACCCCTGAACTAGAGTCTAGAAACTGAATTTAAATATTTCTAGACATTTAATATGGGCCTATTTTTTTTTCCTTTTCAGCCATTGGACTAACCATGTTACTATGATTCAGGTCCACAGAGTTCAACCCAGGTGATCTCAGCCTCGTGTGAGACTCAGCCCAGGTGACTCACCTACAAAGTGTGCTGGTTCATGGTTTCACAGGCTGTATGCTCTTTAAAAGAAGCCAAGTATAAGTAGGGCGTCACTTGGGGCGTGGGGTGTGAAAGTGCAGTCTGGGGTGTACTTGGAAATAATTCCAACTATTTTTTTAAGGATACATTTAAATGTGTGCATGAAGAGCGTGCAGGGGAAAAAAGACAGAAGGAAAGATCAGGAAGGAGAGTTAAAGGGAATCTATTTCTTGGAATGGCTGGTTTAATCTCTGAAAAGCACCTCCGATAATAATTTAACATCTTCAAAAAAAAACTTCCCCACAGTACTAAAACCAGCATAATCCTTTCTATCTTTTCTGTTGTAGTTGCATCCAGGGGTTTTGCTGACCTAGTGATTAAAGAGTGAAATGCATACAAAGACAGTCCTTTGTTTTGTAGCTGGTCTATGCTGCAGTAGCAGTAACTGTCCACCAGAGGGGTGAGTGTGCAGAGTAGCAGTTTCACTGTACATTGATCTGGAGAGAGCCCCAATCTAGCAAGTGTTACAGGTAGGTAGCTATTAATCCTTTTTCAGAAGGCTGAAACAATTTAATTTGCTATCAGTGAAGCAGAAGACTTATAGAAGTGTTCCTATCATTTAAGAACAGGTGATTCCAGCTGACCTATAAGACTTACTGGACGGGACTCCATAGGACCAGGGTGTGACACACAGCCTACTGTAACTTGCCTTTTTTTCTTACATTGGACTGAACCCCACCAATAAAATACATTTTAAAAATCACAAGGTTTGTGCACACCCCCAGCTTATCATGCGAGAGTTAACCAAAAGTCTGGGACTGATTAGGATTCACCTCCAATGACACTGATGACTACAGTAACCCTTGAAAGATTACAGATAAGAAGATCAAGTGAAATACTGTGCAGCACACAAGGCCACTC